AACTTGCTTTTCTTTAAGAAGTATTTTATTTATGTAAAAAATATTTTATTTACTACAAATCATTAAATATTTTTGTTGTGCATCTTAATTCCCTGATTTATGCTTGAATACTGAAGTATTTTATTTATGCTTGAATACAGAAGCACCAAGTTGGGTTTTGTGTCGTTCTTTATATAATATGTTGTCTACTTCTCTTATTTATTTCTTAATTATTTTTAATCCATGAATAATATTTTGTTACAGGTTCCATACTTGAGTTGAACTCATTAGAACCGACACTCATGTTGGTGAAACTCTGAAATTCCTATGTCACTATTATGATGCAATCATGTGTTGTTCTCTCAAGGTAAGCTTTCTTGTTTGGTTTCTCTTGTTCTTGAACTCTACTTTCTAACCAAGGTACCATATAAACTGTAAGCATGCTTCTCCCTTGTTCACCTTCGCCAACCAAGATGGACTTGACCTGCTTGAAACCACTCTCGTTGCCCTCCAAGAGATTTCGCTGGAGAAAATACTTGATGACACTATTTGAAAATTTCTATGCTCTTGGTTTCCTAAGATAATGCATCAGGTCATCTTTTAGCAACTGAAACTATAATTAAAAAGCTACATTTTGATTTGTCTTCATGATTTGGTTCATATTTTAAATTACTTGGTTTCCTTATTCTTGTTGCAGGGCTTTGCCTATCTCCCTATCGCATCTGCATGTAGAGCATGGGGGTGATCGGTGTCCTACGAGCAGGGCATCTCTTGGAAGGTCCTAAACGAATATCTCTTTCTAAGATTAATGAGCTGAATATAAACTAAGATTGTCACTTGTTTTGTATTTTGGTTTTTTTATCTTAATTAACATGAAGAACCAAGCGATGTGTTTTGTGACGATTGTAGTAGATTGATTATATATGTATATGAAGATTGAAGTAGAATTTTTGTTGTATTTAAGGTGGGAAATTTTTGTAATTTTATATTTATGAATTATATTTTTAATTTGTAGAAAAATATCTTATGTAAGCTAGCTCTCATATGTACTTGAGATATTTAGAAATTTGATTGGAGATTAATTATTTGCATTCGAAATATTATGATTAGTATAATTAATTGATAATAGAATGTAAGTAATATTGTATACAACATATATTTAGGCATATAATGATGCTATATTATTAAAATTATTTCATTAAATTGAAGTGTTGGAAAATCATATATCTTAGGGCAACTTAAATATGCCTTATTATAAAACATATTCCATCAAATAAATGTTTTAGCAAAGTCAGCCTATTATGACATATAATATTTATGACACATAAGATTTGTCATATGTATTAATAAATTCCATCATATGAAGGTGTTAGAAAAGCTTGTCTATTAAGACACTTTATAGGTGTCGTTGAGAAGATTATGCCATCAAAATTATATGTCATGAAAGTTTAGTTTTTAAGGCACAAAAAAATGCCCTTAACCCTATGCCAACGGCCACCTAAGTGACACCATTGTTTGATGCCCTAATATATAATGTGCCCTAATAGATACATATTATGGCACTTTAAGGTGCCCTAATAACCATTATTTTTTGTAGTGATATAGGCAAAGTACCATCATCCTTTTACACCCTCCAAGTATAGGCAGAGAATCGTCATCCTTTTACACCCTTCAAGTGTAGGCAGAGTACCGTCATCCTTTTACACCCTCCAAGTGTAGACAGAGTACCGTCGTCCTTTTACACCCTACAAGTGTAGGCAAAGAACCTTCCGTTGTTCATACTCTTCAAGTGTAGGCAGAGAACCTTCGGCTATTCACACTCCTCGAGTGTTGCCAGAGAATCGGATCTTCTTAAAAGATCTTCTCACGAGAAATCTAGAAGGACAAGAGTAAAGAGTGAAGAAAACACAAAGTATACACAGAGATCCTTACCTTTGAGTAACCAAGTGAATCCTTCATGCTCCAATAGTAAGAAATATCTTTCAAAGACTCTTTCTCACTCTCTCCTTCAAATTCCCTTTACTATTCACGAAGACCAAGTGACAAAAAGTTTAAATGACAGTCTTAAGTGGACCTTTTATAGAAAAGACACAAAAAATTGTCTAGAAAACTGCATTTTTCAAATATGTGCGTCCAGGATCGTCCCATACGATCGTAATTCGTACGTACGAACAATATAAAAACTGTTGCATACGAACTCAATATGAATTGGTATGAACTTCCTTCATACCCAATCATCGTCCCGTACTAACTGAGTTCGTCCGGTATGAACAGTTATTTTTCAAAGTTCATTGGTATTAAAAAGAAGGATGAACTACAACTTTACATAACAGAGAAAATCATCCTGGGACGAATAGAAATTATCGTCTGGACGAACTTCACATTTGGTGAATCCAAAGCAGATCGTCCTGGGATGAATGGAAATTATCATCTGGACGAACTTAACATTTGGTGAATCCAGAGAAGATCGTCCTGGACGAATGGAAATTATCGTATGGACAAACTTCACATTTGGTGAATCCCGAGCAGATCGTCCTGGAACGAATGGAAATTATCATCTGGACGAACTTCACATTAGGTGAATCCAGAGCAAATCGTCCTGGGACGAATTGAAATTATCGTCTGGATGAACTCCATATTTGGTGAAAATAGAGAAGATCGTTCTAGGACGAATGAAAATTATCGTCTGGACGAACTTCATATTTGGTGAAAATAGAGAAGATCGTCTTGGGATGAATGAAAATTATCGTCTAGACAAACTTCATATTTGGTGAAAATAAAGAAGATCGAGATGGGACGAATGAAAATTATTATCTTGATGATCTATACTTAGAAAAATTTTAGCCCTCTATGTTCGTTCCATTGCTCAATAGGGAATATAACTGACCAAATCATCTTGTACGAACATTGTTTGTACTGAACGATCAATTAAAAAAATGAGAATTTTAAAACTCTTCCACAAGTGTGTGTGCTTAATTACTCAATTACAATCACACTATCTCAGACTCAATAAAATGAAAAATACATACTTCAATTTTTAAAAACATTATAAGATGATCTTTATTTAAAGTTTTTAACAATCTGGAGTATGATTTTCCCGAAATGTTAGTACACACAAGAGCAAAAACAATTCTTCCAAAATATGTTAGGAGAAAATAATAATCAAAACAATAATATTTGTAATCATAAAAAATATACAAGTACAAGAATGTAAAACATGCAAAGCTAAGTAGCAACTCTCAACACTATTTACTAGCCATGCCACTATTAGAAAATTATAAGTAGACGCCTCATCCCTCATGGAAGGGGCCCCAAGAAAGGAAGATAAGGAAGAGAGATAAATTGGAGTACTCTTGCCATAAGACTCTTCGACCATTCAGACTTCTGCCCGGCCACCGACTGTCGTCGGACTTCAACCCGGATACCGAATGTCATAAGAGTTACGCCGAACCTCCACCCAACCCATAACTATTGCTGGAATTATGCTCGGCTAACAATTGACTTTAGACTTTTGCCGGCCAATAACTAACATCGGACTTCCACCTAGCCCTTCACTATGGTTCTTCCGATATATATCACCAGGTAATAGTCTTTCTGACCATTGTCGAGCACTGACTACGACTCTTCTGACCTCCATCGCCAAACAACGATCCTTCCAACTTTCGTCGCCAGAAAATGGTGTTTGTGACCATTGTCGCATGCAAACTACGATCCTTCTGACCTTCGTAGAAAGACAACAGACTTTCTGACCTCCGTCACTAAACTAAGGTATTTCGGACCTCCGTCGTTGGCTAGACTACGATCTTTCCGACCTCTGTCGACCATCGTCTACTGTCCTAATTGATGTCGAACTTCTATCCAGCCAATAACTAACACTGGACTTCCATATAGCCGTATACTATGATCCTTTCGACCTTCGTCACCAGACAATGATCTTTCTGACCACTAATGACCGATGACTATTGTTCTTCTGAGCTCCATCGTTAGATAAATGGTCCTTCTGACCTCTATCGTTAGACTACAATCTTTCTACCAAACTACAGTCTTTCTAACCTCAATCGCTCGTCGATTATGGTCCTTACAAGCTCCGTTGTCAGATAACAGTCCTTCCGACCTCCGTCACCCGCTGACTACAGTCCTTCCGACCACCGTCACCTGACTACGCCCTTTTTGACCTCTGTTGCCCGCCGACTACGATATTTTCGATAATCGTCACCTGAATATGGTTCCGGCCACCGTTACCCGACTACAGTCTTTTTGACCTTCATTGCCCGTCGACTACGGTCCTTTCAACCACCATTACCGACTATGATCTTTATGATCTCCGTCACCTGCCTACTATGGTCCTGTTGACTAAACAAACATGTCAATATCAAGTCTTTTAATTCCCACCATGTAATGCACAATGTATGATGTATATTTGCAGCATCAAGCCAAATCCTTCCCTCTAAGAAGGACCTCATTTGTAATCAACTGTAAACACTAGCGGATTCATTCAAACTAGTTCACTATATGGTTTTTCTCCTTTTGTAGGATCTTTCATATAAAAATTCTGGTATCTCTTATGTATGCTACACCTTTACTTTTATTTGATTGTGTTCTGAATCTTCGTAAAAAGCTAAGACACTAAATTTTACATTTCTTTACCACAACGAATATTCCAGGACGCAACAATAATATTGATATGATACTCTATTTATCATAAATGTTATAGCACAAAAGAATATTAATAAAAATGTATGATACTAAAATTACATTTGAAGATTATATATATATATATATACACTAATCATCCGTCTAAAATGTCAATTTTTAAATAATTTATAAAGAATTGATAAAAGTTCTTCAAATTTAATCCAAAAATATAGACTTCACGTTGCGTGAGAAAAAAAAAATCCAAAAGAAAACAAATAAACACAATGAACAGCCAACAACTTCACGCCACGTCATAAACATAGCAAGCTCTGTTGTAGGAGAGCACGCAGCGGATCATCCCTTCCCTCTGTTGCCGGCTCATTTCAAAGGCGCGAGGCCTCACGTATTCACTTTCCTATTCTTCCTCCCTCCTCAGCCCCCACGTCGAGTCCACCGTACGAAACGAAAAAGAAAGAGGCCGCCTTCTCGGTCTCCTACCTCCGATTTCTCTCTACTTTCTTGCTCTAGCCATGAACGTTATATAGTTCTTGCCTGAGAGGGAGCTCGGGGCAAAATTCTTGCTCTTTGTTCCCTCTCCTTTGCTGTTTCCTATAGAAGGAGAAGGAGAGAGATGGTGTTGTCGGTATTGAATGGACTCCTCGCCGGGCTGGCGATCGCGGTTCTGGTCTTTATTCCGTCAGCGGCGTGGAATGATGGGTCTCAGCTAACGATGCAGCTAGAAAGGGGGATGCCAGCGAGGGCCCCAGTGGAGGTGCTAAGGGCGCGGGACCGCTTCCGGCATCGGAGAATACTTCAGGGTGCAGCTCGATCGAGTTACGGCGTGGTAGATTTCCCTGTCGAGGGGTCGTGGAATCCCTTCACCGTAGGGTATTTCTTGCTTCCTTCTCTCTTAGTTACGTTTGCGCCCCCATGAGTTTTATTTATTAGGTTCCGAGGATTGGATGATCTCTTAATCCTCTTCTTGACTTCTGTGCTTTCGGGATATCTCTTTTTCAATGTGATTTTACATATTTGTTGTTGAATTTCGATTCTGGAAAGTGAAACCAAGTTAATTTTATTTTTATTTTCCTTGAATTGTGTTTCTTGATAGCACATACATAATCAGGAAAAGGTAAATGATCGTTTTTTTTCCGCTTACGGCATTTTTTAGCTCTTTGTTTTGGGTTAGACATATCCTATATTGTGTTTCGTTGTCAGGGTTTAATTTATTTATGTTATTTGTAGGCTATACTTTACCCGTGTGAAACTGGGCAATCCTGCAAAGGAGTTTTATGTTCAGATTGATACTGGAAGCGATATCCTCTGGGTGACTTGCAATCCCTGTAATGGTTGCCCTACCAGCAGTGGGCTAAATGTAAGGTTTTTGCGCCATCAGCATCTTCCTTTTCATCCATTTGTTTGCTGGGTTGAAAAATGAGAAAATAACTAACATTTAAGGAAAAAAAATGAAACTAGATCTCCTGATACATTTTTTATCATGTTAAGAAGGCAAGATAATGAAACATAGAAGACAAATAGTTGCATTTAGAAAACGTTTAAATATTTGAGAAGGCAAAAATGGTCCCGTGTCTTGTTTCTGTGCTTATTTATCTGTGTTCTAGCTTTAAGCTTTTGATTTCTTACCTTGATACAAAATATATTTGGATATTCCTTTACAAAGTCTATCAGGATATTTTAATTTAATTTTTATCCAACATTCAAAAAATTAATTAAATTATTCAGGATTTAATATCAATATGTTGGACAGCATATCAAGATATCCTAATATAATTTTTATGCAACATTGAATTGATTCACTACCGTATTTGGGATTTTAAGTTATTTAGGATTTAATTTCATTATGTTGGAAAGCATATCAAATCCCATCGGGCTTAGCTGAGTTGGTGGGAGAGCATCCCCCAACCCTTGTTCTATTCCTTTCTCATGCGGCGTGACTCCTTAAGTTGGGAGAAAATAACTGTGTGGCCCTGCACCTGTAGGGTTGGTTGCCGGTAGGCTCACCGAGGGATTAGTTATGCAGTCTTGTGCCTCTTTTAGGGGTGATAACAGGTAGATACCCTACTTCCAATAATAATTAAAAAAAAAAAAAACATATCAGGATATCTTAATATAACTTTTGTCCAACATTTCGGTGATTCACTACCGTAGTTGGGATTTTACTTCAATTTGCATATTATAATTTTGGATCTCAGAGCATCTTCTGGATAAGTATTTTGTAAGAAAAAATTACCAATTTGCAGATCAAGTTGGAGTCTTTTGAGCCAGACAAGTCCTCTACATCTTCATCCATCTCATGCTCAGATCAAAGATGTACATCAGCCATCCAAACTGGAGAGGCAACTTGTTCCTCATCAGATTCTTCAAGTTCACCTTGTTCTTACTCTTTCCAGTATGGTGATGGAAGTGGCACATCTGGTTACTATGTGTCTGACACATTATATTTTGACACAGTTACTGAGAATGAACAAACTTTGAACTCTTCAGCTACCATTATATTTGGGTAAATTCTATGCACTTGTAATAGTTCCTCAGAGTGGAGTTTGAATGAAGCTAATCCATTGTATTTAAAAATGTTTTTAGTAAAATTATGATATTTTATGCTTATATCAAATTAGGCGGCCTTTGACTTTTAATAAGCTTAAAAGCTATTTATTCATTTTTACCATTTGATTCTTATTTTCCTTTTTTTTAAACCACTCACCTTCATTTGTTTATTTGGAACAGATGTAGCAATTCACAGTCGGGAGATTTAACCAAATCTGATCGAGCAATTGATGGGATATTTGGATTTGGACAACATGAATTGTCTGTTATCTCACAGTTGTCATCTGCAGGAGTTGCTCCTAAAGTGTTTTCTCATTGCTTAAAAGGTTCAGATAGCGGTGGGGGGATACTGGTTCTCGGAGAGATTGTTGAACCTGGTATTGTCTATACCCCACTTGTTCAATCAAAGTAAGTGCCTCTTTTTAAATCCGGCAAAACATTATTGCTTGAATTAAATATGTTCTTATGCTCAAATTTTCATTAATAGAACAAAATTCATTATGAAATTCCTTGTAATACATCTTATATTGCTTGCTTTGTGTATAGGTTCATAGCATCTACCTATGATATTTATTTGAATGCATTACATTGCTTTATATATCTATATATTTTGTGCTGTACTTATAAAATACATAAACTCCTTCCCATTAACCTCCCAAGATCCAAGTGGAAGTGCTTGTAGAGTGACCGCAAACCACCCATTTGTATTTGAAGTAGCATTTGATTTTTCTTTTTCTGTTGGAGGAAAAATTGGGAAGTGTGATGCTACTCTTTTTTGTTGTGTTTCAGCATTTTTTATTGATAATTTTTAACTGAACAATTGAATACCTTGCATAAAGGTGGTTTGGTCACCCAAATATATTTTGTATCTAATTGAAATTTAGGTAGTCATTGGGATATTGGTGCTTTGTTTAATTGATTTTTCAATAAAATTCTGAAGTCTAAGAGGATGCATGGTTGACAAAGAAACATTTTGGTAGCAATATTTAAAAAAAAAAAAAGAATATACTATATAGTTTGCAGTTTTAGTGGATCTCAATATTCATTAATATTATTGAAAGATAAATTAATGTTTAGGTGTTATAATTAATATATTTTGGATATATTATATAGAAAAATAGAAAAATACACATGAGGATATAACTGTACGAGTTAGACTGATCAAAATGGATAAGTGCCTTAGGATGATTATGTAAAAAGATGATATTATGGAGACTTAAAAGTAAATTTCATAAAATTGCAATTAGGCTGTTGATGTTGCATGGATATGAATATTTCTCTTAATTATAAATTTGCAAATAGCTTGGATAAGAATAATAATGATGATGAGAACTACTTTTTTCTTATGAGGATGAGTACTATTTTATGCAAATGATGCTTTTTTAACAATGAGTACTGCGTCTCAGGTATGGAAAAAAATGTGAATGGCATGAATAAGTGAAGTTTCTTGGCCAACTTTATCATCCTACACAGTTAATTTCTCATACTTATAACTTACCTTTAACTTGCGTAGAAATTATGTATTATTGGATGCAGGAATTAATATGCTTGATGACCAGTTCACTGAATCAGACAAAGTATTAAGCCTTTTTGATAGGAAGTCATAAGCTCTATGTGAATAATATCAAATATACATATATATATATATATAATATTGGATTTAACTTATGCAAGTGAATTTAGCATCCTGATCATTCAAAAGCATTTGGCCAATGTATAAACTAATGATTAATTTTGCATTTAATATGTCTAGAAGCCACAATGAGTCAATGAAGGCTGAGAACTATATACTGCCATGGTGACTCATTGTCGCATCACAACTAGCTTCTCTGGTCTCCCTATTACTTCTTGCTTATTACAAAAGGGGTTGCATTTGGTGTTAATCTTCTTGTTTAGTTTTCCTAGTTCATCGTTCAACATTTAATGAGAACATATTGCTTTAATAGTGTTATCTTCCATCTAATTGTTAGGTAATCCATATCATCGAATCATGTATTGTACAACATATCACTATGAATTTCATTTTTCAACAAAAGATGACTTTCTACGTAATTATATGCCCATATATTTTTTTGCACCCAGAGACTTGACTGATAGTTTTACTTCTTGAGCATCGGATCATATGTTTTCAACAAGATGATAACTAATGAATTTTTATATCATCATCAGTTGTAGCTTGAATAATTTATTAGTAAATTTACTTTGTTCTCAATGATTATCTTCTATTTTTAGTTCTAGATTTAGCATTGACTTATATCTTTCTGAATTGAAAATTGCCATTCATTCTTTTTGATTGTTGCATTTGGTGTTTTTCCAACTTGAATAAACTCTGCAGGCAGAATCCACTATGTTAACTTTAAATTACCTATTTTCTTTATCAGCCCATACAAAAACTTCTAGGTATATTTATTTGTTCTTGTGTCTTATCTTCCTGAAAAATTCAAGAATTTTTTATGCTCTTCTAACTTATTTCAGTAGCTGATCTGTGCCCCAATGTGGTTCATAAGATAACATTCTGCATTTTTGTTGCTTTGAACTTAACTAATCGTAATATTCATAATCCTTGTGAAAAAGGCAGTTTTATAGCCATGCAGTTTACATTTTTCTGTTCAGCAGCTATTTTTCTCTTGTAAGAAAGCACTGCAGAAGATCCTCGCATTTTATCCTTAATTTTAATTTTGCTAGGCATAGCCTAATTGTATAGCTTTTATTTATGCTAGAAAACCAAGGAGCTAAGCATACTAGAAATAAATGTCTTGATACTCTAAAATATTAGTAGTGTTTTAAAAAGATTAGGCACACCCAAGGAAATATGATTCCCCAGGGCACTAGGCACCACCATAATCTTTCACCAGACTGAGATCTGGGTCGCTTAAAAAGAACTAATTATATTATGATTCTAACTTTGTTTAATTATGATGATTTTTTGTTGAATAATATAAAATGATCATCATCTCATTAAATTATATTGAACAAATTAATTTGATTGATGGTTTTATTGCATTATATATTTGAAAACTTCCTAAATAGATTATGTTAAACCAGTATTATGAAATTAATTAATTTTGTAACATGTATACACATATAATCCAATCTTCACGACTATTGATTTTCTCTTCTCATTTTGCATGTTATTCTCTCCATTGTTTAAAATTGCGCAATACAAGTCGCGCCTCAGTGCAATTCTGATAAAAAATGCCTCAAGGTGCACTCATTGAGCTTATCTTGTGAGGCGTACAACTCATTTTAGCATAGGTGTTCTTTGCTTCATTGTAGTGAGACATACATCTCACCAATTTAATTTATTTTTTTATAAAAATTAAACCTAAATCCCTAAACGATGTTTGCTTTTCCTCTTCTCCATTTCTTCGTTACTATTTGACTTCGCCTTCTTCATGTAAGGTAGAGTTTTGAACGCGTTGCTTCTTCTCCATTTTTTTTTTGATGTTTGATGTCGCCTGTTTTACGTGAGATAGAGTTCTGAATGAGTCGCTAGCTTCTTCTCCATTTCTTCATTGTTGAGTTGACTTGCTTCTCTGCCTCACCCATGACGTTGTTGTTCGACTTCACATGCTTCTTTGTTGCTGTTTGAGTTCATCTACTTTTTTGCTTCACTATTGATGTTTGCCTGCTTGCTCGCTACATAGGTAACATTCTTTCAACCCTTTCGTGCACTTCTTCTGCTAAATCTCTTAAATTTGTCGAACTATCTTACAGGCAAATATAACAAACCAATACTTGAAAGATTCGCCCTTTTGCAATAAATAAGAAGCTTTGTGATAATACCTATATGATTGACCTCATGGATCATCCGAAAATCATGAAGACTTCCAATGATATATGGTTCTTATACTACTCACCAAATGCGATTGCCATTATTGAATCAAACTCTAATTTAAATTCTTCTAAAGGTTAGGACAATTGATGCGTTAGCCTTAGCATTTTTCCTTTGATTTTTTGTTATTTAGTGGGATAACAATACTTTGGCCATTTATACTTTTATAGTTATAGTACTTTTAGCTTGTTTGTCTTGGTTATTCTTTTGAGAAGGTTACATTTTTTTCTGTAGCTTAGTGGTAATGCTAGTCTTTTTGCTTAAGGGAGCAGGTAGGCTGAAAACAATGGACTCTTTGCTCCCTATTTCCATTTTTCTTCCTACTAAATGATGAAGAAAATAACCAAATAAGCAATTTCATTTTGTCCTGTAGCCAAGTAGTATTATTATTCTTCTTGTCTTCAAATGAAACATGCATATATGTTGGAATGGAATCAAATTCATTGCATGTGTGATGATCCCCAAAGCATGCATTTTACTTTTTTGCAATATCAAATACTTAGACACAAAATTTCACACGTGCTTCCAGCAGTTAGGGGCGACCTAACTGACGAGGTTGAGCCTACTATTCTTGAGTGGATTAGGACTATTATGTTACTTGATTTTGGGATTAATGTACTCTTTATATAGATGTGAATGCATTTGGGCACATAATCAAGTGCACACGAAGAGGAGAAATCGTTAAGCAACACTAAGGATAAATTCATTAGTGTACATTATGTACAATAAGAGACTCAAAGATAAAAACATGAAAAAAGGGTTGACAGATGACGAAGACCATTTGATTTGTGAGGATATGATATTAGATGATGAGTGGTTCGTAAATAATGAAGTGGAGATAACACCATCTGAATTATAGGAAGATTTCAATACTGATTTCTTTGATGGTAATATAAACAGAACATATGCATATATTACAACCTAACTACAAAAACAAATAAAGAGAAAAAATATATAAAAATAATTTATTTTCTTAAAGCTCATTTAATTTGGAGTATTACTCTCACATTCATGGTGATGAAAAATGTTTAGGGAAGAGGAAAATGATGAAAATATATGAAAAAGTTGGTTGGGAGACATTGGACTCCATAGATGATGATGCAAGGGAGAGAGCAGTTTGTTATGGCGACGACTCAAATGAGGCAGCGGAGAGATGTGAATATGTTGTTACATAGTTCAATAGGAAGTCAATATATCATTTTTTAATATATTATTTGGTTATCATATAAAAAATTACTTTTGACTTTCATTTTCATTGTTCACAATTTTTTGATTTTGAGGGTTATGATTCAAAACGTCTTGAAGCTTATGCATCGACTCATAGAACGAAAATGTCTCAATACCCAATTGCACAATTTTAAACCTTGATCCTCTCTATAACTAGAATTATAATCCTTTATTTGTTCAATTTTTGTTCTATTTTCCTTAGATTCATCCTCTTTTGTCTCTAAGATTTAATTCTTTTGAACTTAAATTCTTATGTTTATGTTTGATCAACTTGTTTCCAAGTGTGCATACTTGCTCCAACTCTTTATGCAATGACACTTGAAGCATTAGCTCCCACAGCTCATATCAAGGCACGGAGTTTGCCTTACTCAGCGCCTTAGGGTAAGGCATTCACGTAGGCAAGCCTTTGTAATAATTCTTACTTAGGAAATGGGTGAGGCAGTATGATCTTGTAATATCTTGCTCGAGTTTCTAGGCATTTTCTGATGGGGATATCAGCTCGTGGAAGGTTTATCAGAGGCGTGGCCTCCGATCTACGGCCACGATCGAGTCTTTGTATTTCTGAGTCATTTCTGTTTATTATTATTTATGCATTTTTCTATTTGCTTATTGTCATGTTTATTCTTCCGTTTGTACTCCTTTAATGGGAAGTGTCATGTGTGAGCCCAAAGGGCAATTTGATCTTTTATTTCCTCGAGTCCATTGTACTTGGCTATATATAGCCCTTGGTTCGTTGTTTCTTGGTTAATGAATGATTATGAGAATTTCGTCTACAATTGTTTTCTTAGAGCTTATGCGAGAGCTTGAGAGAGAGAGCTAGAGATCTTGGTGGAGCCTAGGAGAGGCCACCATTGTACCCAACAGTCACCACCGGTGGCTCTTGGTCCTCCTTTCCCTTATCACCACCACCGACCACCTCTCTTCCTCTCACCCGACTTCTTTCTCTCCCTCTCATCCAAACCCCACGGTCAAACCCTCATCCGAGCCCCTTCATCCCCACCCAGTCTCACGGCCAAACCCATAACCGGTCCCTTGGCCGCCGACTCCACTTCCCTAGCCACCGGCCAAGCTCCTCTCCCCACCCTCCTTGCGATTTCCTATTTTGGTTAGGCTAATTTAGGGATTGATTTGAATTTGAAATTATTCAAATTTAAATTTCAAATCCTTTCCTAATTTAGTGAATCTATTTTAGGAAAGTTCTTAAATTAAAACTCTTTGAAATTCAAATTCAAATTGGATTTAATTGATTACTTTCCTAATCCCAAAATCTAATTTGGGCAAGCATGACACCTCATATCAAATCCCCCTTGCCCATGCATGCCGCCGGCCTCCCCTCTCTCCTAGCCTATTAATGCCCCTTGATTATTTCCTAAACTCAAGTCTAGCTTTAGGAAATATTTCCAAATCCCATCTCCCCTATTTGGCCAAAATTTCCATCCCCAGAATTCCTCCAATTATTTCATAATCTAATTAATTAATTAGAAAATCAATCCCCCCTCATTAACCCACCGGCCCCCTCCCCCTCTCTATCTCCAAACCGCCTCTCTCTCTCTCCCTCTTTAATACTCCAAAGTGAATTATTGCCTTAGTTTCTTCCACCCAATTTTCCAACGCCTATTCCTAAAATCTGAAATCTCTCTCAGATTTTTGGAATAAAAAATCTAAAACTATTTTCAGATTTCTCTTGGGAAGAGATTTGGAGTTTATTTCCTCTCCAAGTGCAAGAGAAACTTCTTTCTCTTTGCCACCACTCAAGAGGTGCATCAAGTGTTTAGTAGATTTTACGTTCAATCATCCATGGATGGCGGATCCAGAGACTGATTATGGCATAACATGGGACGAGGACGGGTTCGTCGACATCCTACAATCTACTTTCTTCGACGTGAATCCAAGGGTTGATCTCACTGTCGAGGATTACTTGGAGCGTACGTTGATCTATTTGGTAGAGGCCATTGACGAGCACTTCGAAGGCATCGAGTGGAGGATCTCCACTACTTCGTGAAGAAAGATTTTCTTCTTCCCCTTTTAATATATTTTCCTAAGTCTAACCCTATCTTGTGCTTGATCACAGTCACAACGGACGACTCTTCATTGCTCATGCTAAAGCTTAGTAAACGTAGGGTTTGAGTGCACCTTTATGCTATTTAATTCTCGTTGTTAGATTAGGGATTTTCTTTGAAGCTACTACTTGTTATTGTGTTGTTTTCTTTTCATATTTGTGAAAGTTACAAATCTCTTGCTTCGTAATTTGGCCTAAGCGGATGTGACCCATATTTTTTTTGACTCATCATTTTAAAGTGTTTTAGTTTTGTTCTACGTTTATTCTAATCACAAGTTGTGCGAAATTCAAAGGACTTTTAAGCACTCATATTTAGTCCTGCATCATTTTCCCTGTTCACCTTTAACTATAACATATTTTTAGTTGATAGATATAATTAAAATAATTGACTGGTGATTAAAAAAAAAGCATCATAACACATACTGTTTGGAGTCTCATGCAATTGGGGTATGGAAATTTGGAGTTTCATCTAACCTAAGATTTGTTGATGTGTTTGGCATTACATGTATTATGTTTGCTTGATTACCTTCTTTTTTACATTATGATTTCAATCGTGATCCTTTACTATTGCCACTGAATTTTAAGAAAATTAGCAAATATTTAGAACTATAAATTTTTTTTATTCAGTGCATTCAGGCATTATACGAATTTTTAAGTCATTAAACTGATTAAAGTTTTAAAAATAGCCTGGGTTTCTGCAAGGAATATGTCTTGTTATTTGAATATGAAAGTATTTTCTAGAAAGGAAGCAAATGAAAAAAAAAGAAAATTAATTTATTAATGCTGCAGTTCTTAATTAAAAATTAATCTTATATTTAATCTTGTGAATGCTTATTCTATGGACATTCAGGCCTCACTACAACTTAAATCTTGAAAGCATTGCTGTCAATGGGCAAACACTATCCGTTGATTCATCAGTGTTTACAACATCAAATACACAAGTTATCTGT